TGTACACTGAAAAACCCCCAACTGTGTGTGTGTGTATCATGATGAACAAAGCGATGCGCCGTGTGCTGCCTCAGATTACACAAACGCGTCTTCTAGTGGCTAAAATGTGCATATTCCAGATATCCACTTGTTTCAAGCATTCTGCAGTTTTTGATGCTAATGCGTCTGCACCGCTTCACAGTAACAAAACAAAAAAAAAAAAAAACACTAAAAGCCCTTCATTAAGCACAAAATCTAAGACATGAAAACAGAGGCAAAGATTCCCGTGGCTCTACAGTAGGAAGGTTTTAGACCACATGTTCCCGCAATGAGCTGTAAAAGTGCGCCATCCAGTGGTTGAATCACAAACTACTCATAGTCCTCTGTGAAGTTTCATCTGGGTGAGCTGTGTGATGACAAAAGTCAATAAATAACAGAGAAGAATGCAATAAATAACTGTTTGAAATAAAATGCAGCACAGTCAGTGATGTTGAAGAGTTTCGTGTTGAGTCTTGTGATGAGATTTCCTGTCTCTCTTTTCATAAATGCTGCTCAGGCTTGTGATAAAAGTGAAATCTTGTTCAGTTTGAATAGTTTGATTTTGATTTTGGTCGACCGTCTTCAGAAGTGTTGCCGTGGTAACTAAGCATGGGCCAATGTTAGGCTGTATGAAAACTTGGGAGTTCATTTATATAAAGTGAGTAAAATGCATAACTTGATCTCATTGCTAATGGAAAATTAGCCATTTTCCTGCTAAAATAATCCACCTCATTAATTTCCTATAAGGGATGTCCCAATCTGATTCCAGATGTTACATATTCCTGATTATGGCAGTGTTAGAAATGACCGTTTTTGGAGTTCCTGAAGGATTTCATGCCAGCTGCACCTCCAGGTATGCATATGACATACATATTTGATGCAGGTAATGTGCAGCTATATAGTTTGTGTCCACGAACCTGTTCATCAGGTCTGGGTTTTCTGTTTGTATCAACGTTCACAAACAGAGAGAGAGGCTGTAGCAGCTTCCTGTCTGTCTGTGTCAGCAGATGGAAATAATCAACAAGACGTATCAAAACAAAATAAGTGCTACTAAGAAATGATGAAACTATGCACATTTTGACATGTCAGAATCTGCTGATCGTTGTTATTAAACGATTGGTTTGGTATTGGGAGCAAACATCCTGATTAGGACATCCCAAATTAATACATAACTGTATGTAGCTATATTGTTTTATTGTACAATTCATCCTTTCAGCAAGTAAGAATAGTTTATGACCCTCTTTTCAGCCTGCTGACTGCCAGTGTGCAGCAATAGTTGAAGGAAAAATGCCTCTCACTCCAGCACCATTAACGGTCAAAAATTATCTCTCTCTCTATATATATATATATATATATATATATATATATATATATATATATATATATATATATATAAAACCCAGCCTTGCTCTGTACTGTGAGCCTGAACGCTACAATCCAGTGTTACAAGCTTTCAATAAAACATTGCCAGGTAAACCAGTAATACATTTCACACATTGGATGACAAC